GGTTTTATTATATTCTTAGCTGTATTCCACGTTTCATCTACCGTAAATATGCTGTTAAAGTCGCGGCAGTTATTAAAATCTTGACGTATCTTATGTCTGAAGGTACTTATGCGTTTTGGGTCATCCAGTTTAGTTACATCATATCTGGTAAGTTGTCCCATATTTGTATGAGGGCGTCTTTTGAGTTTTATTTTCATTTTACCTCTTAAGAGATAGTGATCTGAGTTCGAGTCTGCTCTTCTTATTGATCTGACATCTTGGATACAATTTTTAAATCTTGAATTGATTAGAATATGGTMTATTTGGTTAGTATATCTTCCATCTGATAACCTCCATGTCCCCTTATGAATATTTTTATGTGGAAACATTGTACTCTTTATTACTATTTACTAAACCATTCCCGGTTGCCAAGTCAATTAGYTTAAGTCCGTTGTCGTTTGTTTCAATCGTGTTGACTGTATTTTTCTGCTACTTGTCTAAACATTGTTTCTTTCCCAACTTTGGTATTTAGATCTCCTAGAATAATTTGTATCCTACTGCTAGAAATCGAGTTCAGCGTACTTTCAAGTTGTTCATAAAACGTTTCTTTCTCATTTTGAGATTTGTCCTCCATTGGAACATGTACATTCATGTAGCTTATATCAAACCATTGTGCTTCTATTGTAAACATGCTTATTTTAGGGTTAATATCTTTGAATTCTTTAACTACAGGGAATAAATATTTGTGTACCGCAAAACCCGTTCCTAGTTGGCGTTGATCAGTATTACAGCTACCATAGAAGATAGTTGTCTCTCGTTTATATTTATCGTCCWTGTATTGGTCCATCTAATTTCTTGTAATGCTGTTAATTTGACTTTATATTTTTCAACTTCATTCACTTTGTTGTGAACTGCTCCAGATTTATATAGTGTGCGTACGTTCCAAGTTCCGAAAGATAAGTCCTTTTTCCGTTTTCCAGTCGATTCAAAACTCTGTCTCGAGGCAAATTGTCTTGTTCCTGAACATGTTATTTTTTACTAGGCAGGGTTGTTAACCCTATGCTTAACCCCCTACCAGGAGCACCAACTACTTAAAGCCAGTGTGGGGCTATTGCAGTACACAATGTTGTGTACTGGGCGATGGGCACGCCGCTTTCCCTATACCGGGATATATATTATATCTATATTTATTATTAGTGTCGGCGCACCCAGGGCAACGCCGTACGGGTACGGCGTTATTATATATACCATCCCCTATTTCAGCCCCTTGCAGTCTMCTACATCCCTTTTTTAGCATTTAAAAGYAGCCTATATTTTTTCTCAGTGTCTAAACTATCTATATGCACCAAATTTCATTTAAATCGGTTCAATAATTTCGGAGCCTATTCCTATTCAATACAAACAATCAAATCTTTCCTCTTTATAATATTAGTATAGATGAACGTTAGTCTATATATATATTATATATATAATTGATTCATACTATACATTTTTATAAAAACCAAAATACGCATGTGTATATATGCAAGCTATATGACATCGTCATCAAAGGTACAAAAATGACCTATCATTTTCACCAAAATTCGAARAACATAAGCGCCAATCTAATATTTTATAGGTACCTGTTATACTCAACATATTATGATATAAGCGCTAAAGGTRCAAAAATGACTTATCATTTGTGCGAAAATTAGTATTATATATAAAGTGCAGCTACAAGCTACAATATGAGCTGCTCAGTAACACATATGTATAATAATAATAATAATAATAACATGCAATATACCTAGACAAAGAGTTATATTTTGGATCAACTCTATTCAAAACACATATGCCATATGCGAGTATTTACATACTCAACCTTGCTTGCTGTAGACTGATAGCTCAGTATATTATACATTTATACATATATAGGTAAACTGTATATACTATAAACTAAGCCGCAAGGCTTATATATGTATAACGTGACGTTTTAATTATTGTACAGTATAACATTTTGGAACACCGACATCATCACACAAGAAAACGCCTACAACGACAGCTTTATTAAAATATTATTATTTTTAATTTTCTAGTCGTTGGGATTATAATATGGGTGTTATCGTCGAGATAGTATTGACTTAAATTTCCTGATAGGTGACAAAAATCTTGGGCAAGTTAAACGAATCGCCCTCGGGCAGGATAACAGTCATAAATCATGAAAAACAAAATAATAATAATACCAAAAAATATTCGAAATTCTGTAGGTGGTAGAACGCGCCATACACACGTGCGGGGACGCTGACGAACACGCGCGTGCAGTTTAATTCCTTGCGTACCTATARGTTAGGTTATACCTATATAGCGTACCCATATATAGCATAAAATATTTTTATATATTTAACGTATTATCCAAACATAGTTATTAGTTAATAATATATCTCGCATATATGARTAGGTACTTTGTTATAATTGAAATGATATTCTAATTAACATAACGAGTCTATATAATGTAATTTAATCGTAATTCGTAGCTGAAACTACAGACTTTGATGTAATGACGTATAGGTATAGGCACACCATATTATATTCAAATTTTGAAATGTGTAATGTACATAAGTAGTTACTTTTAGATTATACCTATTTGTTCTTGTACACCACGCGAATATGTAACTTTACTATATGGTCCAATGAAATATATTTATGCTAATGAATTTAAAAATATACACATAGGTATATTATGTGATATGATATAATAATTATATGGGGTATAATTTGTTTAAAATATGAATGTATTAATCTTACTGCGCAGTAGCGCCGTACTGCAAAAAAATAGATGCTAGTTAGATAATGCTTTTGAAAATGTCAAAAATATCATCAGAAGTTATAACTTATAATAAAGTTATAATATTATAGAATCATTTTTTAAGAAGTTAACTTATTATAGGAATAATTTTTTATAATAGTTTAGGTGCACCTACATATATAATAATAGCRTGCGTGCAAAAAATATTATTATTAATTTTACAAACACGCATTTTGTTGATGTTTGTRTCTTTTATGGATTAGCTATTTTTAAATTAAGTTCATAAAAGTTTGTTAGAACTTGTAACCATTTTTAAATTTTTGGCAGTATTAGATTCATTGTTATTTGATTACATTAATTAAACAGCCTTAATATACATTGTAAAATCATTTTTTTCCCAGATTTCGATACATCTACTTCTTAATATATACTATATACTCGAAACATTAAATAAAGTTTATTCACCATTATAAAATATACATACATTATTACATTAATACTATATAGGTAGGTACGTGTATCATCATTAATGGTTATGATTTGTTGAATAATAAAAAATATGATTTGAGTTTTATATTAATATTTAATATAATTTTAAGCCGCATACTTTAATATGTTGGAATTAATGTAAAAATGTTTTAGTATTTATTTTCGTTTTATTTTCAGGTAATAATGTC